TAAGCTTTTACGTGGAAACAGGTTGGCTAGAGCTGGTGGCACTGTCTTTCTGGCATTCCTTTAAAACAGTAGCATTCTAAAGGGCTGCTTACAGCGGGTTTCCAGCAATAACTATATTTTCAAATTTATTTTTTTTAAACTTTTCAAAATTTCATTTAAAATCAATGTCAGAATTCCTGCTGCTACTGACAAGACTGCAGTCCCGGGAAGGGGAGAGACATTTTCTGCCCTAGAAATTCCACAATTAGCACATATTTCTAGTTTCTTTCTGTTCTCTGAAATTATATAGAAAAGTATCCAATCAACAGATCAGATCAATAAAGGAATAGATCAGGATACTCCTTTATCACTTTTCATTTTCCATCCTCAGATAGTTAATAATTTAAATACTTTCCTTACATTTTTTTCCATGCTTATTTTCTACTAGAATTTTATACTTTCGTCCAAGTTTTCAAAAACCTGGAAACCTTTTGGAACTTGTTTAGCAACCATTCCACTCATGCATTAAACCTAGTCTTATCACATCACATCCTGTTTGGAATGGACACTGAGTAAAAAGATTTGCTGCTCTTTCCCAGTGCTGGTTTCTGGTACTGCCAACACAAGAGAAGAAAATGTCTTTGGAGTGTCTTAAGTCAGTTTGCCCTGTTCTGGCCTACAACAAGAAGAAAGTAAACCATAGGAGGATATGCAGTTCTGTTACTACACCCTGAATCATCAATAAATGGTAGGAAAGGGGTCAGTTTGGCTTATACCACATACATGTCAATTTTACCTGACGTAAAATGTGAATGCCATCTGTCTACATGCTCTTTCTACAGTATGAACAAAACAAAAACCACACAAAGTTGCTAGACCACCGTGGGCTACCAGAAACTCCGTATTTAACCTCAGAGATACTAACAGTCACACTGCCCTCCTAGTCTTCCTGTGAACCACAATGAATTGGACTAAACCTTTAGGGTGCCCTCCAGATAGTCTGAGCATCTATCATAGGGTAGATTATTAAAACTACAAATTGCTCACCTACAAGGCAACTTCTTGACGATGCTCAATTCCTTCTTTCTACTGAACCACAGGGAGAAGTTTCAGATAGCGTTCCTGTTTCCAGCTGTTTTGGTCAAAAGGGATGACAGCTTTTCAGATGTGATTTGCCAAATATCCACTGATGGTCAAGCTTACCTTTGCAACTTTTACCAGAGGTATTTATTAGTACCTCTTAATTCAATACATTGCCCACTACCTGAAAACAGAAATCAACTTTTATGTCAACTTAAAGAAAAAATAACTGTTCACTGTACCCGTATTCATCTAATACACACAATACTCACCAATACTATACAATAAAAATTCTATGTTTAATAGTCCCACTTATGTGTAAGAATAATTTCAGTGTAATAGCACACGTATCCACTACCCCATACTAGAATTCATTTAGTATATTCTGGGGCTTAGTTTTATAAGGAATTGTTTTGCTGTGGAAGAGCCTTGGCCAAATCAAGAAATGAAGCATTGTAATCCAAATTTTTATGCTACTTTATGCTGAGAAATAGCATATGAAACTTGTACAGAAAAGGCTGTTGAAGGCTTGTATTGCCCTGTAATGAAGAGAAAAAGAGAAAAGGAAAGCTTATAAAATTTAATAACACAATCGTGCTCAGAAAAGTCCTTAAATCTTTTATCTGAGATGCAGAAGAGGGGAACCTTTGTAAAAGTGTAGTTTTCCAGGAATGGTCCCTTCTTTTTCTGACAACCAGAACAAATAGGTGGAAATAAAGGAGGCTAACAAGTCTTCTCTCCTACCAGAAGAGGACGTTCTACCTTTATTTGAGGGCTTGCTCTGTGGGAGAAGCCAGTTGTATGAGAAACCACACAGGATGATGCACACATCCAGGACCACAGGAGGGTGTTTGAGTCCTTTTCCTCTTTCTTGAATGTTAGGTTGGGAAATGCCAGGATAGGCCTTCCTGTTTTCTCTTGCCCAAGATCCAAATCCCTTCCGAATAATCAGCTTTTGCTTGGAGTCCTATCCACATCCTCCAAAAAAACTTTACGCAGCCGTGGTCCCCTTATCGAAGTAAAGGTCCCCAGGTGGTCCACTCTTGACATAAGCAACTGTTCCTCTGTCGAGAGGCAGCACATTAAGGGGTAAAGAGTAAAAGGAAATACATTACACAAGTACAATGAATACTGACTTATCACAAAATAAATATCCCCCATATGTATATGTGCATGTGTATATATATGTATGTATGTTAATAGCACATGTCACACAAGGTTACACTTGGGGATTATTTTTCCTCCTACTCAGTACTTTGCTGCAATTTTCCTCAGAGACCAGCCACTTAATATTTCGGATTATGGAGTCTGTTGTAGCTACAGCTATATTACAGATAGGACAAAGACACACATTTTATGTAAATTGAGAGCTAAATCTGAACTTTCCAAAAGTTTGAGATGTTAGTATATATGGGGTTTTTTTTAAAGGCTTTATTATTCCAAGATCAGGGCCAGCTGCAAAGATTGGATTCAAATCCAAAAACATATATTAAAATGCATACACTTCTTGGTAGAAAGAAGTTTTAAAACCTGTCAGCTGAGAACAACACTCTTTTTGTGTGCTGCCTGACAATTCAGTTACAGATCGACCCTATTGTTTTTTGGATAATTTAAATGTGATTGTTGGCAAAGCAGAAAAGGGTGGGGGAGGCGTACCGGGAGGCACACAGTGAGAAAGAAGAAAGCATTTCTGATTATACAATATATCCCTGACATGTTGTTACACACAAACCCAATATTTAGCATTTAAAAAAGAAGGGAAAAAAAAAAAAGAAAAAGAAAAACAATAAAAGAAACAGCAGCTGTTTCTATGTGATGTCAGAGAACAGGTGTGATACAAATCTCCATACCAGCGCAATCATATTGATCTCCCGATGATGCACGCATGAGGCACATGTGCAAACGTTATCGACCCATCCGGCATCTCATTTCCAGGAATACGGCCTGAAAATGCCTCCCTATAATTGAAAACATTATCAGGATAAACACCGTATTGGCCAATTATTAAAAAACACACACAGAAACTGAGTAAGGAAAGGTGAGCCTGCCCCCGCAGCCCGCGGCCGTGCGGTGCCTCCTGCCCGGGGCCCCGCAGCCTCGCAGCCCCCCGCGCTGCCCCCGGGACCCCCCCAGGACCCTCTGGGGGTTGGGTGAGAGGCGACTCAGCCCCGGCGCAGCCCCCCGGGGGGGCGGGAGGG